CCGACAACAGTTGTCGCGTATCTGGAGAGACAGGGGCCACCAGGTCTCATGTCCTGTGTGCCCTCTCCATCCACATCCTTCTTCTCTGCCAGGACATGCAGTTGACCATAGCGGTCAAGCATCTTTCTGGCAGGCTGAGTGTGTTGGTGGTCACTCTCCAGGCGCCACCAGCCAGTGTTGACGGAATGGCAGCTGTGTCCCTTGATTTTCAAGGGGAATTGTCAGGCGTGGGACAGACCTATTATAGACCTGTTTGCCACTTCACTGAACAACCAGCTGCTAACCTTCGTCTCCCCGGTCCCAGACCGTAAGGCGTGGGCTGTGGACGCCCTTTCTCTGGAATAGGAAGGGACGTATGCATATGCATTCCCTCCCTTCAACCTGGTGGGCAGGGTTCTACAGAAGTTCTGGGAGCATCACTGCTCCTTACTTCTGAGAGCCCCTCTGTGGCCGAGGCAAGCTTGGTTTCAGGAGCTCTTGTCGTTTCTGGTGGAGGAGCCCTTGGCTCTCCCCACCAGACCGAATCTCCTTAGCCAGCCTTGGCCCAGAACGACACACTCTTGACCAGAGATCCTCCACCTTCACGCGTTGAGGCTATCTCTGGAAGCCACGCCAAGGCAGGTTTTTCTCAAGAGGTGTCAGATTGCATTGAGCAATCAATCAGGGCTTCCTCTTCTGCCGTCTACCAGTCACGTTGGATGATCTTCTGTGATTGGTGTGTCGGCAAGGAAGCTTATTCATTCGAAGCCTCTGCATTTGATTGCGGACTTCCTAATCTCTCTGTTTAGGTACCGCTATCTGGCACCTGGCACTATTGCTGTGTATCGTACAGCTATTGCCAGAGTTCTTGCTTGTTATGGCAGGAAGGAGATAGGTTAGTCCTCCTCTCTTTCTGCCCTAATTAGAGGCTTTGCTATGGATAGAGTTGTTTTTAGCGAAGAATCAGGTTCCGGGGTTCTCGCACGATCCTATCAGGATCCTGGCTGTGACTAGCTTGGAGGAGTGAGATAGGTTGCTTTGTCCTTGTCGGGCTCTTAGGTTTTATCTTGATAAAACCAGGGGGGGGGGCTCTCGATCCCGTCTGTTTTGCCCATCAAACAGGGACAACGAGATATCTCCTCCCAGTCGGTTTCCAGGTGGGTTTGCCAGGTGATTTAGTATGCTTACGAGCATTTTGGCTTGGGCGAGAGCGAAAGCGCAGTCTCACGAGGTCAGGGCCCTTGCTTCATCCTGGGTCCTTCTCTCAATGGGTCCTCCTTTCAGGAGGTCATGTCTGCAGCATTCTGGCAGGGCAGGGATACCTTCACAGATTTTTATCTGTGATCCCTAGCTTCCCACTCAGAAGGCCTGTATTCATTGGGACCTTTGGTGGTGGCATAGTCAGTGGCTGTGCCTCCTCATTAGCCCCGGGCCATGTCTTTCCGTACGGCGGCATGTGGGTACACCTGCTCTTTCACAGAGAGGTCCCTTCCTTCACTTTGGCACTCTGTTCTCCCTCCCTACTACTTTGGTTGTGCTGAAGGGGCTGCCTGGCTTCTAGTCACCACTACGGTAAGACGAATTCGCATACTAAAGTTATGGTAATTATTACTGAAATGAAATTGAGGTTTTTTAATGTAAAACCAATTTTCATGATGTAATACTTACCATAACTTTATGGAGTCCCACCCTATCCTCCCCTCTTCCTTATCTGCCTGGCTGCCCCTCTGTGGGGTACGCCATAAAGGTTATTAGAGGAAGGGAGATCACTCTGCGTTCCTGCCGTGATGGCTCATGGATCGTAGGGAGGGCGGGATTGTTTTTCTTTTGAATCTTTTGTTGTTGGGATACAAAGATGGGTGTAGGTACTGTATTTGCATACTAAAGTTATGGTAAGTATTACATCATGAAAATTGGTTTTACATTAAAAAACCTCAAGTCTTGAGGAGTTCAACGATCACTACTCAGAGCTGTTTGTGTTTTTCTGGAGGCTGTCAAGAGACAGATCATCTGATGTTGAGTCCTTGCGTAATGGCCCTTACTCCAACTGTTTTAGATGGCATATGAAAGGCCCCTATTATGTTGCTCACTGAGGCAGCAACCAACTAAGAAAGCTACTACAAGGTCCCTCCTCATAATAGTCCATGAAAGTTGGTTGTGTGATAGGCAATAAATCTAGCAAACAAACTCTTAATAAATTGTACCAGCGATCCATGGTCAGCTCAAATGCACCTCAGTACTATACATATACTTTTATATTGTAATTAATCTACCTTATGCTTAAGTTCAGCTTATTTTGGTAAATGTGACGTACACATGTAAATTGAGACAGCAACATGAGAGTTGAGTTACTCATGATCAGGGTATGTCTATATATAGGATGTTTGTGTGATTTGGGGTGGTTTCAGAATCATGACATTGCTCCCTCTTCATATTTTTCTTACTTGGTATTTCAAGTTACATAAAGCTGATCTAGGTGAAAGAGTTTAGATATAGTTTTGTCTATACATACATTTCAAATCTGTTGTCAAAATATATAGAACTGGTGTAGACTCATTATATGAAGCACATAGGTGTGTATGTGCCTTTATGTATATGTGCACCAACTCAGTGACAATTAAGAACTGTTTACATTTAGGTACAAAATGTGCTGCATGCTTATACAGAGGGCCAAAAAAGGATTATGTTGAAAGTTTTGCAGTATACTCTGTATGGGTTAACACACAAACATTGAATTCCAAGTCAGGATGTGGGGCAATGAAAAAGCATTTGTCTATAACGCTATTGAGGTAATAAAATTATATGGGTGGGCTTATTACCAGACATTGGTGTATTGCCAGATAGTTAGGATAGACGATATCATGGACTTGTAAACAGCGAGGACTAATTCAATAGTTAAGCTTAAAATCAAACATTTATGTGGGGCTCAATTTCCATGGTTTCAAATAATAACTACGGTACTTCATGGAAACTCGATTTGACTTGGATAAATACTACTCAATAAATCTGCTTATATAAATCATAACTTCAACAGTTTGAGGACATATTTGTTTTTTGATTAAGATTTCACAGTATAGATGGCATACAGTGTGTATAAAAAATAAAAACACTTGTATATAGTGTACTTATTGTTTTTTGTACAGAAATTTAACTAACACTGTAATCTTGTGTGTAACTGGAAAATGATAAATGATGATTACATGCTTACTGTAAACTGACTTCAGAACATGTTATGTCATTTGTTTTTATTGCCGGATATGTGGAAATATGGATGTCATTTACCTTATATAAACATTAGCCTCAAGGACATCTTTCATTACACGATATTTATACTGCAATGAGCCCAGGGACACATACAGAAATGCTGTCTAATTACGTTATGAAGGAGAGTTTTTATTTCAGGATTATGAATTTGAAGTATTAATCATTGGTACTTACCATAATTATCCTAAAATTAGTCCTTTCCCCTAATGTAAAAGTTCTGAAGTTTTATACTACCTCATACCACATGCAATAATCAATAAAATGCCTTTATTTTAGCTTTAAAAACCTGTTGTCATGAACTCATCAAAACATCCCATGAAAACTGATAAACTTGCTATTTTGAAATGGACCACTCTTCAGAAAATAATAAGGGGGAGATGTGATTTATTGTTAGGCAGAGGTTTGCTAATGCATATGGCTTAATGCAGCTTGTGATCATTTAGAATTTCCTGAATAACAATAGATATGAGCTTTGTCAATACTCATATTGAGAGGGAAAAAATTAATTTCAGTAATAAACCAAGTTGCCTAAAAATATAGTTGCTATAAGAATCTGATATACAGTAATAACTTCACCAACGTCAGTCATGTTTTATATGTGATTTATAAGTACATCAATCTGTTTATAATTAGTAAGGAAGTGGTGATATGGGGTGACAGAATCACGGACTATGCAGTGTCAATGTCATGGTGACACTTTCAATATATTAAGGTGTTTAACCATCAAATAAAACATGGTCAACAATTTAGATAATTTGTAAGTGTACTTTGAATAAGTAATAAATGAATGTTACTGCCAATTTGAAAAGCTAGAATACATGAATGAATGAATTGAACGTTAAATTTGAGACATAATTTAAGAAATTATGTATAAGTAAGAAGGTTATGATTTTTTGTGATTTAGATTTTGAATACTTACAAACTTCATGATGCAGACATGCACACAGAAAATGCGGTTGTATCTATAAACAGTATTTTATGTTAGGTTGGTTGTTAATAATTGTTAGTCCCCAAATGGAAACCATGGAGTGGCTATAGTTTTGCAATGTGTTCGTCTCTCCTTCAGTTCGTCTATCCACTCTCTTGTCCAGGCTTTATCTCTTATACTACTTGTCATAATGTACTTCATACTTCGGGTATGTGTTCACATTTGAAAGAAAGTATGTCATGTATCAAATGTAGGTCACTGTGACCTACCTTTTACTTAAGGTTTGTGTGCTCTGTCTTCTACATGCACTACCAGTCACATGAACTTCATACTAGCAGTATGGTTCAATTTGGTGATGTAGTATGTTGTGTATCAAAATCAGGACACTCTGACCTATAATTTAACCTTTTAAAAATATTGTCTAGGCCCATTAAACTACAACCCAATTACCACTGAGCCAGAAGAAGAAATATGAAAAGATCAAAATATACCTCTTATTGCACCACTATAGAAATGTTAAAGAACCACTAGACGTGCACAAGAACTGCTAGAAACTTCAAGTTTTGAAAGAACTATAAAATTAAATTAAAGTAGCCCTTTTAGAAATAATTTCTAGTGGGGCAAGCCTTCTTCTAATTTTGTAATTCTTAATTTTTGGGGTATTTAGTGCTGTATGTAAGTTTATTTCCCCAAGAAATAAAAGTTTCTAACATAAGTACATTATACAAAGACAATATATTCCATGCATTTTTAATAAAATATTGCAATATAAATCTATGACCTGAAGAAATTGTGTGTCATCATATCTTTCAAATAAACACACAACAGGATGACATTACAAGAAAAACTGAGGACTTTGATGCAGCCATCCTTGAGTACGTGTTAAATTCAGGTGTTTTTGTGGAAGAGTCACAGATTTTCACCCTAACACTTATTACTGACGTTATATTAGTGCATTGCACGGAACAGATCAAACGAGAGATATTGTAGCACTTTGTGGTGAGATATGAGGACTTAATATTTATAGATTTTGTACTTTCATGTTCAAACTCTTGATTACATGCAATATTCATTCATATTCTGCTACAGAAAACATGCATTGTTACATATCTATCATATAAGTAAGGTCACAATGGTGCAATGGCCAGTGTATGGTGTCTGATCATCACTTAACATATTTGAGACACATGACAAGATGTCCAGTTGGTCGCCCTAATCACAGGTATTTAAATCGTCCCATTATACATTATGTGAGGTCCATATCAATAAAATTCTTATCAGGTGACAGAGAGTATTCAGGTGTAATGACGGTGTAAGTGATAGAGTTTGGACTCCTTAGACATGTATTATAGTGGGTTGTCTACTTTTCTAACTGATATCTTGAATTTAAGATACTGACCTTGTAACTGGGCTTATTCTGATATATCCCTTTAACTCTGTATCAATATACACAAGTATATAAGGTTGACCGATACCCAGATTACAGCCAGTCTATAAGTACATTAACACTTATATTTTGTTATTTATACCCACAAAAGTATAGCATATATTATACATTGAACAAGTCTTAATAGAAATCAAACAGAGTGAAACTGTCATGGTTAAGTACAAAATACAGCTATAGTAAAGTCCAGACAGTCTCCAGCATTTTTTACCAGTTGGACATACATGTAATACTGATCGACAAAGATTTTCAGATGTGAATTTAATGTTCTTTATTGTTTTGTTGACTGTCATGTTTGTAGATTTTATTTTCTCAGCACTATTTACTAATATTGTTGTCTACAGATTGTTGTCTACAGTTAAAGGCTGTATCATTGTAAATTAAATCTTTCTGAGTAAAAACTTTAAATGAGGTTTTTTTATATATATATATTCAGTAATTGTTGACTATCCAAGGTCATTTCTACTTGTATAATTTCAATCTCTTGACTAGAAAATCAAATATCTTATGGAGTCAGACTGTCTGAACTGGCTCAGCAAATTATCAATTGATCTATCAGCAGATGAACGTTAAGATTCATTAGCATTATATATGTTGGCTTTCAAAAAATCAATTGAAATGATCTTTCAGCTGCTGAATATATAAGCACTAAAACAGGGACAGTCTGGAATTTAAAAACTGAAGACTATCTTTTCTCACTCTCACAAATGTTCTGCTACATATACATACAGCTAGATTTTCTTCGATTCTCCTGACATCTACAGACAGATTGTTATTTCTGTATACATGTATTTGAATTAAGAAATACGTCACATTTTTCAAGTAATGTATGGGGAAATAATATATTAATTAAAACCTGTAAAATAACCTGGTCTGAAAGCTTGAGAATTATTAGGATTCTAATTCAAAACACAAGGTCACTCATCAATTTGAAGTAAGTCCTGATGTTGATAAACACAATTAATACAACCGAATGTTGAGATGCTGTGTTTTGTAAATGTACATTAAAACCTTGAGGAATTTGAACAAATTCCAATGTTACATGCATAAAACCCTCAAAGAATGCTCTCCAAAGTCTGGTGTAAATTTAGCCTCACTTTCATGTACCTTTGTCTGAGATCTATATGATTTATATTGTTAAAAGTGAGCTGCTTGTTTCATTTATAGGCTCACTAATTACTACATCACATTATTCTGATGTAATGATTTTATGAATCTGCTAGAGGAAGATGCAGATTTCCTTGGACATCCCCACACTTCCCTGTTGTGATTGGTTTCCTTTGAATTCATGGATATGTGAAGTTTCATTACATTACCATCCTTCACTCAATCAGTTGTGTGTTTATAGATGTAGAGAGTTGTTTTCCGTACATGATGTAAAAAGTTGATGGAGTTCACTTTAGGCTTTTGTATCTTTGTAATAATTTCCCCCATATATCTTACATATATACCATACTTTTAATATTTCTAGCTTGGGCACCAAATCTACTAATATCCAGGTACATGTATTCCTTTTTACCTGACTGTATGAAACGATATACATTATGGCTAAGATATGACTGATAATATTACATTTTTAGGTCACCTGAGACAAAGTCTCCTAGACTTATTGCGATCGCCTTTTGTCCGACAACTCAGTTGTAAACAATTGACATTTTCACCTTCTTCTTAATACCCAAAAGGCCAGGAATGCTGATATTGGGTCTGTAGCAGGCTGGGAGAAAGAGCTACCAAGTTTGTTCAAATGAATGGCTGGGACCCACTTTCAAGGTCACAGGTCAAATGTATTGAAATCTTTTGAACAACTTCTCAATAACTAAAAGGTCCCGGATGCTAATATTGGGCCTGTAGCATGCTGGCATGAAGGTTTTATCATGTTTGTTCAAATGAATGACATTGACCTTTATTCAAGATCACATGGGTCAAATATGCTAAACTACAACAGAGAGTGTTAAAAGTTCTGTTTGAAAATTAAGCCTTTAAACTAAGAAACAATAAAAACTTTATGAGTATGCTTATATCAGTTCTGTTCTGCCTGCCTAAATGCTGGGACTTATGGACAGGTTCTAAAACTGTCCAAGGACCTGAAGACCTCAGGTGACTGTTAAGACCCATGGGCCTCTTGTATTTTAGTCTTGTCAACTTTTATTTTCATTCCATGATATTACATGACATTACAATAACTCTGATATACATTCAAGGCTGTGCTGTCATCTGATGTTCCTTCAGGATTATCTTTGAAACGAAATAGAACTGATTACTTATTTCTTCCATATGGGAATGACTTTATATAAAAGATATGGAGATAATATGAAATGAAGAACTTTCAGCAACTTCTGTTAATTATTTCCGGAATGAAATATTTCAGTCAGTTTGATTTGAATAAAGTGACGTAAAATCAGATACACATCGGAATTCCTATTACATATAGTGTTGTTCATTGCTGTCTGCCTTTTTGGTGTATCAACACTAGTGCTGGTAACATGAGTGAAGTTGAAATAACTTGTTTTGCAATCATTTAAAAATCAATAAAATTGATATTTAAACATATATTACATTAACACTTTTCTATCAAATTTAATGAATTTGATATTACATTTTTATCTATTTTCCATTTTACTTGTCTGTTATCACATTTTAATCAGAAACTAATACCAGACAAATGTACTTGATTAACATTCCTGTCAACTTTCCACGTTTGAAATGAGAGAGAAGGTGCACATGTGTGGTGAAAATTAATGTTGTCTGCAAAATCTGTTTGTATAATAAATGCCCTGCGTTACAAAATAGTGGCGTCATCATGGAGATCTCCTACCAAAAGAACAGCAGGATTCACACAGATATTTGGTCAGTCAATCCGATCTGTGACCTGCCTAATCCTCCATCCATCATACTTGAGCTGTATTCCAGGGCTTAATTTTTCAAGTAATTTGGGAAAGACCATTTTTATCTTATTTTGAGAAGAAAATTGATTAACTGGAAAGGAAATTTTAAGAAGTAAATTATGTTTTGGGAATATGACCATTCTATAAAATAAGCCCGATTTGGAATGGGGTCCCAAATTACTTGGCCCCACTCATAGCCACCTCCAAAAAAGCCATGTATTCTCACATGTATTGACCCTAAATGACTAATTGCTGATGAGCTGTAAAACACTTGAAAATAAATTGTTGTATGTCAACGTGCATGTACATCCATCCACTTGACTGCCATATATTATGTCAGACTTTTCTTCTCAATTTAAAGTAAATTTAACCTTCTGTTTTATGTCCTTGGGAGTATAATCAAACTTCTGTACAGTATATTGAATGTAGAAGGAAAGGTAGATTCTGATGTTATTACGCTTGGCATACTAGTCAGTCAGGCAGAGTGATAGAGAGGGTCTATAACCTAGCCAGTTTTTGTTCAGAGGTCAGTTGTCAGTCTTCAAACAATACTTTGATATCAGCTCATTTTCCAGTATACATGATATTTAATCAACCTCCCTGTGGATTTGCTGAATCTGTGTTTTTGTTGGTGATTGTCAGGCGACTCAGGGTTCAGATTATTTCCTTACTATGTGTATTATGTGAATAGTTCAAATTGGATTTCCTGGAGTTGTCAGGGGTTCTTTATGAATCCTTGAATATCAGTTGGAACTACAAAGGAAACTATTCTTACTTATATTTCTGTTACTGCATAATGTTACATATGTATGTTTGTTGAGGTAACTTCTTGCTTTCAGTAATGCATACTGTATAATGATATTATTTTCATACACATAAACATTAATGATAATTGTTGACAGGGCCTTTTTATTTAATTATGGGAAGATAATTGATTTGTTGGGAAGAGAATTATATATTGTTGGAATATGGCCATATAAATCATTCAAATTGAAAATGGGGCCCATATTAGTCTCCACAGTGTCCCATAGAGAAAATGATGTGTGAAAAATAATTATGTACTAACCTGAAGAGGATCAAGTATACCACTTACTGTGTACATGTACAGTCAAACCTGGCTAAGCAATCACCTCAAATAAGCAGTCGAGCATCTGTCGTAAGTGGTCACTTTCAGGTACTCCCAATGAAAAGACTTTATAAATGCACTGGTTTTAGCGGTTACCTGTGTAACACGGCCGACGGCCACTAATACTGGTCCCAGACATATCTTTTGACCTGAATTTAGTGTCCATGAGACATTGATTTGGTGGGGTCAGAATTAAGGGGTGTACTTTCAGGTGACGTTCAGTCCGTAAGTGCGTTTCAGATGAAGTGTGGTCCTGGTGTTGTGATTTTGTTTGAATAAATAATGATTCCAATCTTGTGGGTTGTCTGTGTTCTGTTTACTTATCTACATGGGGTAAGAGAGGAATTATAGACATAGCCTACATACATTATACCTTGCCATATTGTTGTATTTTACAGTATCATCAAAGGTAGTAGAACATTTTGGTATTTGTCTTTAACTTTAACCTTGATTAGCCAGCCACCTGTCTAAGCAGCCAAAATCATGGTTTCCCACTTAAAACAGGTTAGACTGTAGATCCTGTACCTGTGTTGGTGTTACTTACTACTAAATTACAGGTGATTTAATACCTGTATCCTACAGCAAACATCCATCTTTTCATCTTTACCTGAGTCACTCTCAATTACTGCTCGCTAGTCATACCTACAAGATATTCATTATGTGTCAGACTCGTGTAATTGAGACCCTTAACATATATACACATATAAAGACCTAAAAACTAAGTCGATATTAATAATCAAAGCCAAGTCAATCCATATAGCAGCCAATAAAAAGGGTCTGTGCAACATATATAATGTTACAATATATAGACTTAATTGAATATATACTACAGGGTAGCAGATGTGTGACATATTTATTAGCCTGCATAATGTTTGGATGTTAACTGTCATTAAAATTGAGTTCATTTTCATTTGACTTTGTATACAATTCAATTTCCATGAAGATCAGACAACTGCATTCTCATTGGAATTAGCACAACTTTGGTTCATGATATTTAATTTCATATTTAACATATTATTGGGAAGCATCTCAAAGTTTATTAATGATCATCAACAGATGAAATAATTGTTATTGAGTTTTTACAGCACAGATATATATTATTGCTAACATGTACATATACTGATGTGCCAACCAAAAAATACATTGTACTGTTGGAAAAACTGTCAAATCATAAAGCACTTTTTCACTAACCTTAGATTTATACATATTCGATCACAAAACATTTTTTATTTGCTGTTTCTCTTGAATTTCTCTTCACTGTCATCATCTTTCAATTGTCCAGGTATAAAAAAAAACCAGGATCAATTGATTGGCTGATCACAAATTTAGAATGAACTTTAAGAAATATGTAAAACAGCCACACAAGTCAGGATGTCAAAGTGGCAGTGTCTGCCTCAGATCTCAGAAATGCATTAAAAGATCTGGGATAGATATTTTTTAATCCTTATCACTGGAGAAAGCTTGTCAAGTTTACATGCTGTGTATCTCTTATATTTAGTAAATCAAGTCTTTGAAATGTTTGATTTATTACTTGAGCAATACTTATGACCACTTTAAGTAAAGGACATCACCATAAAACTTTTGGAAAACTTTTAACGATATTTAGGACTTTAGGACCTTATAGTCATTTGAATGTTAGTTTCTGTAAAAATTTATGATTTTTTTTTTATAATTGAATTTTCCTAGTATGTTTTTGAAAGATTTGAAATGCTTTATCTTAGATAGATATTGAATTTCTTTTCTGTACTGTTCCAGAAACATGTCTGCCAGATGACAAACAATGCCACAACATTAATGGTAAAGATGAAAGTTTGACAGATGAGTTCGCTGCCATCCAACAAATCCACCACCTCATAGATGATGACCAGAATGGAAATGTTGACCCATCAGAGAGTGATGAGGTATGAAGCTTATTTATAAAATCAGTCTGATTCATTATCACACACAGGAAACAAGGTTATAAATTTACCTTTCTCTGTGTTCGAAAAAAGTATGGCCTTAAAGTTAACAGGAACAGCTTTAAATTCAAGTTTGTTGATATAATTGAACTGAACTGCATTCAAGTCTGATAAAATAAACTTGAAGACATCAGCATTTTTATGTAGTGACCATGGTGCATATATAGAAATCATTTTAACGTCATATCATCATTTCATCATACCTGTTCGTTGCTTTTTGAGCCAATATTTGTGCGGTTCAAGACTATTCATCATCATAAAATATTAAAAGAAAACACACACACCTGGAGGAAATATTGTTTGAAAAGTTAATGAATAACAAATCCAATTTTGGGAAGCCATTTTGCTGATTAATGATATAGTATAACAATTGTTATAAATCATCATGACAGAAGTTTCTCATCAATTTTAATGTTGCTTTCAAATTGTTACAATGCTTTTGAAATTGTTCGTTTATCACAGTTTAAATTGTTGGGGCAGGCTCTGGAAAAACAGACTTTCAGTGTGAATCAGAAGCATATCACAGAGTTCTTGACAGTGCCAAGAGAAGTTTTCACAAAAACTTGAACAGTCAGTCTGGTCTGGCTCTGAGAGTTTGAATATTGAGGTCTTATTTGCCTGAGGTAGAAGAGGTCAGCCATTGGGTGTACACATGTGGGGAGGGGGAGAAGTGAGATGGTTTGAGACCTTGTTACTTAATGGTGTTCCAATTAGTTGAAATAATTGTAGATTGGTTGTTCACCTCAGGTGGCCAAGCAGTCAATTATGTTTTACTGTAATTAAACATAAATGAGTACTAAAAACACTTCTTTCCATTGAATTTTATAGATTTGATGAAAAAAAGCAGCACCTATAGAAATTACTTGCCATATAGTAAAAGGTGACTTAAAGTTCAAAACCTAATCACAATCACACAAGTGTAGCTTTTTTGTTGCCATACAAACTTTGGGTATTACAAAAGATTTTCATACAATGATATCTGCAATACTGCATTATTTACGAAATGCATAAACACACAACATTCAGTATAACCTGTCATAAAACAAAACAGACATAGACCATAAATATAGACATTGGTTGTTAACAATTATTGTTGATAAAAATTCAAAATGCATTCCATCCATTTCTATATTTCTTTTTTTTTTTTTTTTGTGTTCAAAGATGGCAACTGAACAAAAGATACATAACTTTAGCAGTCATAAAAATGTTTCGCTGTATGGGAACACTTCTGTTTCTTCTGCAAAATCATGAATTTCTGTGAGTGATTAATTTTCATTGATTGATTGTGTGCTCTTGATACATGAATTCATTTGTCCACAAACTGTTAAGATAAGTATTTACTAGCAGGTTTATCAAGCCATATTTATCCACGAAATCAAGTGTCCACAAAAGAGAATTTTTGAAAAGCCACGAAAATTATGCCCCACAAAAATATATGTAATTTTCAGTAAAAATTGACACATTGATGAAAAGATTTCAAAATACAGAACTTTGTATCTAGCCAGGCTGAATATCCATGTTTGAGACAGGTATACATAGGAGATCGGATAGTTTTAGATGAAAGTGGAAGGGGCTAGTGAGAGATAGGATTTGGTGAGGGGAAGGGGGTAGGTTGAGACAAGGGTGGGGAAGGGAGAAGGGGATAGTGTGAGATAGGATTTGGTGAGGGGAAGGGGGTAGGTTGAGACAAGGGTGGGGAAGGGAGAAGGGGATAGTGCGAGATAGGATTTGGTGGGGAAAAGGGGGTAGGTTGAGACAAGAGTGGGGAGAGGAGAATGTTGTAGTTTGTGACAGGCATAGGGATTGGGTACCAAAGAAAGGGAATGGTATGGGACTTACAGAGGAAGGGGTTAGACAAGTCAGAAAAATTGGTAGACAATTGCAGTAATGCAGCAATTTTCTACTGGTCATCTATAATACAGGTTACACTTAGCCTTAGCTTAATAGGTGTGTCGGCCTACTGCTATAGTTAATACAATGTAGCTTTCCATCTTAACAATCAATAATTTTCATTGTGGCAGCATTTCCTGGCATATCTCACTTTTCTTGAAGGGGATTTGCATTAATTTGCAACATAAAAAGACAATGATAAACAATATATACAACAAAAGGTGGTTTGCATAAAGTTGCATGTTTCTTATAAAAATATTAGTATTGGAATGCATATGCAGCACTTTCCATCAAATGTTTTACACTAGCAGCAGGTTTTAAAGCTTCTTAAGAGTTGGAAACACATTTTGTAGTGTGACACTATTTAGGGAGAATTGTTCATGCAGTGTTCAGAGTCCCGATGTAGTGTGTGGATTTGAATGTAGAGGAGAAAGTAGAGGGATAGAGCATATTTTTCATACATTTTATAGCTGTAGGAGGGAAGTGAATATGTTTTCAGTAACCCATGTCCTCATCCTGAATTGATGTCAATAATCATATGAAGACTTTATTTTATTTTAAAATTTGGATAAAATTTTATGTAAAAGTTTCAGGATTCCAAGGTCAAAGCATTATAGAATGTAGAAATTTGTCAAACAATCCAACTAAATTGCATTGGCTGCATGACCAACATGTTTTACAAAGATTTTGTTTTTTTTTAAAGTATGATGTTCAAATATGCTGGAGGGATTATATTTAAACATTCAAGAATGAAGTCTTAAGTTTGATGTGTTTAACATGGACCTGTAGACAGGTACAACTGTAATTCATCAAATAGAGAATGTCAGTTGGTTCTTTAAAAGTGAAGTGGAATAGGTCTTAACTTCTTATACTACTTTATCAAGCAGGTATGTTGTTATGTACATACAATTTTAGACCCTACAAATATTTTTTATAACGTCTTAGTGCATGCAGCCTTTAGTACACTGGATGGTGTTAAACGTGCTGTTGACTAGTGGTTAGTAGAATGATTACTGCCAAGTATCTATCAGACTTTAAGCTTGAGTTCCTTAGCTAGCTCTACTTCAAAATGGCCTGTTGTCTTTCAATTCAACTGCAAAACCACCAAATTCAAAGAATCTAAAAAATTATGTTTTATGATATAGACTGGCTTGTGATATCAGTTGATGGAAGATATATGCCTGGTGCAGTTGTTCACTGCAGGCAACTGTTTTACTGTTTACTGCTTACCAAATTTATTATCTTATATTTGTACATTGATGCAAAAAAATCTTTAAAAGAATAAAAATTGATATTTTCATCAAAATAAATGCCATTGGTTACTGCTGGACAATACCAGACACTTCCAATGAGTGACACCAATGATGGTTAATCAAAGCAGTATATTGGAAAATAAATTAAACAGTGCATTAGTGTGATATAATTTCTTTTTCAAAGAAGACAACTTTACATTGGCAGCACCGTGTATTTAGACATTGATTATTGTTTTGGCAAAGCTTAGATGCATAATGATCTTGTTGAAATTCATGACCATCAAAGTGTTTTCACTGCTCATGTATGCACCCAAACCGGATTAAATAGGGTTTTATTGTATTTTTGTAGAATAATTAACTCATTTAGCCCTGCCCGTGCATTACGTAATCCTTATAAGGTCAATCTTACCCATATAGGAAACTAACATAGATATACATAAGTCTATTTGTGGCTGATTTTGATGTACTAGGCACCTGTGGGTCAATGGTGCATACCTGTTATAAATATCCAGTAATATTGGGCCAGGTCTGTGATATATGTGCCTGGTAAACATACTCTACACATAGGTCAAATGTAATACAGGTGCAGAAGGTTAGAGATTGAACTGAGAGGCTTATAATCCTTCTTCATGTCTGGTTTACAACTGTCAGGTCGCAAGCTCCATATTATATCGAATTAGACCTGAATTTACATTAAAACTAACAAACAGTTATAACTGATTAAATCTGAAAAATGGTTTCATTTGTATATTCTGTAGAAGACATCAAGTTTTGCATGTAAGGAAGTTATTATGCTAGTCAAATATTTATAGTATCTTATGCCAATGTATTGTATAGACAGTTTAGTACAATTAAATTTATAACATAACAACTCTTGTATATGCCTGCTTTCAACTTCAACAGTCACTTCATATACATATATATTCAATATTTTTCCTTTTCTGGCAGTCTGCTCCCGCTTCAGCGTCTTGATTGCAGCTGATGTATATATAAGATATATTTCACCAGGAAAATGAAAATATTTATTCTGTGCTTGTTTGTCCTTTTACAGGGAGATAATTTCACGTTGGTTTTGTTCACCAAACCTTTGTTTAGATTATGTTCACTAAAATGCACTTGTTGTTTTTGACTTTTTTGTTTAAGAAAAAAAAAATCCTGTGATGTTTAAGAAAGTTAATTTTTGTCCATGATGTTATGATGTATAACATATCCATGGCCTAGCTAATACTGTTAATATTAGTTAACCCAGTATTGTCAACCAGGATTCAGGTTAACGACAATCTCACCTTTTCAAGGATGAAATGATCCCAAAATGATATTCCCTTTCAGGAAAATATTTTCAAGATTGATTCAGATTGTATGATTAATTATATATCACTTTTAATTGAAGTTTGCCTACGAATTCATAAACAAGTATGCTGAGAACCTGCACTCATCACTGCTGGTAACTTGTCAACATATCAGCTTGAAGCCTATTTGTGCTGTTTGCCATCTCTGTCAGTTCCTGTATATGTTTTTGCCTCCATATAGAACATGAACTGTCTATGATATCTTTCTTGGTGTACATAACTAATTGCATTTTGCTTTCATTTTTGGTTGTCTGCAATATAACTATTACAATGTACTTTTTAGTCATTGTAATTGTTGTATACATTGTTTTCAGAAAGAAGGATCATATTGTGATAAAACATCCCTGGTTTGTTAAAGTTCCAAGGTAAAAGTCTAAATGTTGCATATTTAATTCAATTTTATGCTGAGTGCTTTGGGATTATTGGATGGTTTCTCAATATCTTTCCTAGA